GAGATATTTGGAAGTTTTTGACTCACCGGGCTTTCGTCTTTTGGGTGTACAAGTTTGGGATGAGGCTGAAGATACCTCCGACGCTATACCTGTTTGAACACTACTTGTTCCAGTTACCACACCAGCTGCACTTGAGACCATTGCACTTATTTGCGAAGAAATACTTTCCGAGCGGCGGAATGTATCTCGCAATCGATTTAGGGAGGGTAATGATGGAGAGCTAGACAACAGGTTACTGGACGCATTGCTGACGATTTCTTCACTATCCGGACTGCGTAGCAGAAGATTGCGAGAGGTACTCATTTTCTTACACAAATTATATTTCAGCACTACACTACACTTTTTTCAGATGCAACAATTAAAACAATAATATTACACAAACGCTATTTGAAAGCCAAAAAATAAACATCAGAATTAAACAAATGGACACCAAAAAACCTCCGACGCAAATAATAATGGGTTGTGGGAGATCAAAAACAATTTTCAGCTGTTTTTGACAATCCAGCTATCACTTGCAACTGTTTTTGCTATTTTTCGATAACACTTGCACCGAAACTGCTGTTTTGGTANCTCTGCTAAAATGTACTATCGGAAACCGAAATCGTTCCCGCGACAGTCGGGCCTACGTAACCGGACGACCCAGATTTATATCTGGCCAAGGACTGTGACTCCAGCAACACTCCCCAAAAAGTCTTTGGGGAATTTGTATGCTGCTACAACAACAACAACCAAAGTGTAAAAATGGGTAAAACTTCATTAGTAAGTAAGTATTGTTCTGTGTTTTTACTTTTTTCTTTTGCTTCATCTTGTCAGATCTTGTGTAGTTGGATCATGACTTTGTAGGATATCCCCACTAAAGTGCTAGTTTTTTCCACGGTACACAACGGGTTAAACGCCTTGCGACCAGTAGCAGCAACTGCCGATTTATTTATTTATATTTATCACCTTATACTTCCGGTAGTGCATTCCAGTGGAAGTTTTGTGATCTATCCCTGTTCTGACATTTATTCTTGTTTTTTTTTGTAAATTATCTTTTGGTGTTATTTATCAGTTCTGTTTTGTTTTATAAAATTATTGTCAATTTGACATATCTAGTTACGACTTACGACACAAAAAACAGCCGTTTGCACACTGGCCGTCTTTCGATAATTTACTCGAGAAAAATGGATTTGCTGAGAAAGGTATTTATTTATTTCTTAATTAAATTGAATCTGTTATACATCTTTCCTATTGCAGTGTACACAGCAGCTGCTGGTGAATGCAAACATGTGGGCGCAAGCGCTTTCTGTTACGTGCACTGCGTTCCATACAAGTCCTGTGTGCAGCCGCGTGCAGGCTGGCCGCTATCGTGTCACTACGAAGCGTAACCGTGCGCTCACTTATGAAATGGCTAATCCGCCCCATTATATTGCCCATCGAAAGTCTTGGAACTCATGGAATACATGTTTGTAAAAAAAAATATCAAAGTTGAGATCCCCTTTTANACGAAGCGTAACCGTGCGCTCACTTATGAAATGGCTAATCCGCCCCATTACATTGCCCATCGAAAGTCTTGGAACTCATGGAATACATGTTTGTAAAAAAAAATATCAAAGTTGAGATCCCCTTTTATATCTAAGAAATTTTCTTTCACAGCAACTATGTTGGATGGATTACGCCCTTCGCAGACGGCAATTGAAGACTTATTTTTGCGGAAATTCATGACCGGTACTTGGCATGCGCTAGTCGTTTCCGAAGTGATTATCAAAAGACAGCACAATATGATAAGAATAGCTGCCATTGTCCGTCAGGCAATAAGCCCGCGGAAGATGTATTTCCTTATTGGTTATACGGAAGAACTGTTATCATATTGGTTGCAATGTCCTGTTACATTGGAGTTGCAAACAGTAGCTGATAAAAAAGATGTTATATTCAAGTATATTTAAATTGTACATCGTAATTGTTGTATGTACAACGAAAAAATAAGACAAAGTAACCAAATAACTATAAACCAATTATCAGTGCACAGTAATCTCATTGTGATTCTTGTTACTCTGCCAAGTCTTAATGGCCTTATTAACTATGGTTGCATCTTGATCTTTCACCTGCAATGTATTTGTGAACAATGTTTAAATATTTAGGTAAGTATATTAAAGAAGACAAACCTGTTCAATTAAAGTTTTGAGCTCAAGTAAGGAATTACAATTCAGTACATGTTTCCTCAATGTTTTAACTAACTCCAGGAAAACGAAAACTACAATTTTTCTCGATCCTCCGCAAATTTTATCCCATACTTTAACTAAAGCCGTGTCTGTAATGACTCCAGCAAAGCACGTTACATACCATTTTTCCACAAGTTCACCTGTGTTGTAAACACCCAATCTCTCTAAATGGCTATAATTTATTTAAAAAAAATGTAAATATGTAATTTGAAAACATTTAGGCTGCATTCCTTAATTCATTCTGAACGTTTGGAATAAACTTTTTTGTTTAATTGTTCTTTAGAACGTTGCTGATGATATGTTAACGTATATTTCAAACTCATTCTGTTTATTCTGGCTGTGAAATGGGATTATCTGGAATGTATAAAGAAACGCAACCTTAAAGTGTCTTTACTCACTTGTGCAATTCTATATCTTCACGCTTCAGCAATGTCTGAGAGAGCTCCATTAATTTTGAACATTCCTGCTCTATGCCCTTACTGCATGCAAAAAACTCTTTAGCTATCCAATAAGTTTCCACATCATTGTCGAATATCTGCAAAAGTACTTTAACGATTTCCATAAAATTACTGTCATCTTCTGGTGGGCCAATTAATGGGTGTAGCAATCGACCATTTTCCAATAGCCACATTGTTTGTAGTACTTTACTTTTTGTGGTAGTCTGGTCTATATATTGCATCATAGTGACTGCGCGGAGCAAATCGTCATAGACTGCAGTGCGCTGTTCTAAGATATAATCCATAGAGTTTTTATGGAGAGGCAATATGCCAAGTATAATACTCCACAACAAACCCCGTTGCGCAGTAGGCACCGTATAGCTTAAACAAAACTGTTTTAGCTTCGAGTGATTGCGTATATTGTCTTGGAGAAGTTTATTTAATGACTTTTTTTCCTCCACAGAATAACATCCTACTTTTTCGTAGTAGCTTGAACGGAAATTTCGTTCATCCATCCTCACTCCTCGCCACTTGTATGCACACTCTTGCTTTATTGTTAAAAATGTTTACTTCAGAAGTGCATTTAATTGTTCTCAATATTTTTCAAAACG